CTTTACCAGAGTGCCTGTGGCTATCCTCTTGCTTTGTGGCATAAACAAATATTCTGATGAAAGGAATGCTGGGAATTTGCTTCTGTCTATAGTATTTCATGCTGACATGAAGCCCTTCCTCCACAACCACAACAAAATTATATGACCACAGCAGGTATAACATTCATGGTTAATTTTATTTTCAATAAGTCAAGGGACAATTAAGATATGTTTATATACAATACATTTTCTATTCACATATTGTTAAGATAGTATTTTTCTGATTCATTTCTTAAGATGATCTCTTACCTTCTGGGTTATTTATATAGACACTTCTCTTTCTTTGACTTTTGTTAAATATCACCTGTGAGCAAAAATAACATCATGTCTATTTTCACTTTTCTGGGTGGGTTATAGTTTTCTGTCTAAAGGCACCTTTCTAAACTTAATGTCCATACACTGGAAATGTAAACACTGAACTGAGAACATATGTTTCCCACACAGCTGCTTCAAAACAATACACTAGTTGCTCAAGCGCCTACACGCATGGTACGTTCTATGGCTAAAAGATATATCTAACATCTTCATTCATGAGATAATGCCACTGAAGATAAGCGACTCTCCATCTGTCAGTCCAATTCTTTGGCTGGTTTTCGATCCTCAGCTCTTCTCTAGAGCCCATTTTGTATTTTGTCAATTCCTTGGGAAGCAGGGGAGGTTTAGAGTGGGTGCGTATGGTCGTGTGAGTCCGTAAAAGCAGAGACACTTGAAACCTCTGACCCCCTCTTTGCGTGGTCTTCATTGGTGCCACTAGTTGTCTCTCACAAAATAATAATAAAAAAAAAACATCAGGTCATACCACTGTTTCCAGCCCAGTCACAGGGACGTTGTAGGATTAACTTGTAGGTAAAAAATTATCATATTTTAAAAAGCCATTGTCTGCTGTTTCAACAGTGCATACCATGGGTTTTCTAGCAGAGTATGACACTGACACTGAGAGGAGAGAGAGCCTTATGAAGATCAGAGTCCACTCCAGATTGAGGCAACAAGTCAGAGTACTGAGTGAAGAGGCCACAGCCTTCCCATTCCGTACACTGGCCCAGCAGTTCACAGAGAGCAGCAGCCAAACAAAAAGCCTGAGATGAGCTGGATCCACAGTTAGTCTTGACGACATGCCAACCAGGGGAATGGACAATCACCAATTTCTGTAGAGGCCGTTGCCCTAAAGTAAAACAGCAACAAAACAGACAAGATTCATTAATGGCTGTAAACATAACGGTCTATATCAGCAGGATGTCAACAGATAATATTTTAAAGGTATCTGTTATTCAGCTTATGTGTGGGTTTGCAGTTGTACATGCCAATACTAGTATTATATATTACCTCAGTATAATATGCAATCACTCTATTTCTAGTCCTAGTTCTTTTGTTTCATCTTGTGTGTGTTCATGTATGAAAATGCTTCTGGGTTCTGTTCTGTATCGGAAAAGGTTTTTGAAGTCTTACACCCTACGTGCACGTGAGGTCAAAGATCTTAACAAGCAGTTGTCTCATTTTCTGAAGGCGATGCGATCATAAGAGTGTACAAAAAGTCACACTGTGTAATGACAACAGGTTGGGATAAGAAAGGTGAACGTTAAGGGAGAGATGAAGGGAGACACTGTTCAAATATACAGAATTCAGACGGGGACACTCCAGGATTAGACAGCGCTGCTAAAATCCGCCGTTTACAACATCCAAAGCGATACTGCAGAAAAAGGAATTGGTACAGAAACACAAGTGAGAAGCGCGGTCCCCGTAATCGACCAGCCAGAGGACAGCGGAGAGGTGAGCGAGGCGGCGTGCGCAGGAGTCTCCACATACACTGCCGTGTCCCGCCGCAGCGTGGGTGTCTTCGGCTCGGGCTGTGGAGCTGCTGCCGCCCTGCGACTGGGAGCTCAAGGCGGCCCGAGGAAGGGTCGTGTCGTACACCGCGTCTGCCTGCTAGCGTCGCACGCCGAGCGAAACGAGCACACGACACACAACCACAGATTGAAGGGAGAAAATAAAACAAAACCAAATCACGACTGTGGAAAGGGTTTTCAAAATTAGCAGAGGAAGAATGGGGCTTGGGTTTACCCCTTATAGGAACACAATTGTTTTTCTTTTCACCCAGGTTTGCCTATAAATATAAAACACCACAACCTAGCCTTTGTTGACAAGTGTGTAAAGACAAGCCAACAAACACATTTGACCTAAATTCATTTTTGTTACAGCTATAAAACCATTAAGACAGCTATGAACATTTCAACCCTTTATTAGGCAATTAGCTGTGTGATCTTGCCTTTGAGCTTGGTTTTCATTTTGAGAGTGTGTGAAAATAAGCCCTTTTAAGCTTAAATCTGACATAAGATAAATGTCTTTAACATGATGATCTAATGAACAGTTCTTATGCAACGTATTATTTTTGGCCTATTTATGAGAATACAGTCAGAAAAGGATCTTTGCCTTCTGTAAGCTACCAGATAAGAAAAAAGGTGAACAGATGCGTTTTTCATAGAGAAGTCTCATCTTCATTGTAAAGACGTAGCCATTGATGTCCTTTGGAAAATGGGGAACAAGAGCTCAATAGATAATTGCGTCCATGAGTAAGCAGTGGAGTTACCTTGATGATAGTTCACACAGTAAGTCTGCACGATATTTTAATGCGTTTCAGCAGGATGTCCCCTTCCTATTCAAGTGCAAAGGCTACCACAACTCTGATGGAGGGTATATACAGTGTGCACAAAAGAGAAAGATACATTGGACCACTGCAGAGGGAACAAAATACCAAGTCAGCGTTCAACCCAAACATGCACTTACCTTTCCAGGGCTTTTACTGATCAGTGCAAGTTCTGTTGGCTGGTACACACAGCTGCGCATCTGTCCATTGTAGCCCCCGTATGGGGACACAGGCTTGATGGCTGAAAATGGGGGGGGAGGATAAAATGGTTTTGAAACATCTTGCATTCAGCATGACTAGAATGGAAAGTTCAAACAAGCACATCGGTGCAAAGGAGAAGACAGTTGTCTGTTTAGATTTGTGTATCTAGGGATCTTGGTGAAGAAGAATGAACAACACTGTATCCCAGCTTCTCTGAACATGGTGGTTCTTATCGTCCAAATGGAAACCTGTCTCTATTCATGTACATACTGTACAAACAGGGAAACAAAGAAATTCAACTAGTAGCGGCTTCTTGCTTTTGTTGCTCGTAACTGATTAATACGAACACCTTGGGCTATTATTCTGGTAAAAATTAATAATTCAGGACGATCTAGGTCCTTTTGTGCTTTCAGCCCTGGTGATAACTTGACTTGAATTGTGTGCTGAATTAAAGAACAAAACACCCAAAGGAGTGAAACCATAAGGATAAAAGAAAGGGCACAAATGAGAAAAGGCTATTTGGCCCAGTAGTTAGTATTTAGTAGCGTAGCTAGGGGATGTGAGGATTTCAACCAAATTATTTTTAAAATTAACCATGGTATTGGCCTCAATAACAACATTGTTCCCATCTCCCAGAGTCCTCTGGGTAAAGAACTCCCTCCTGTTTTTAGCTTTAACTGCACTTTCATATAGTTTCCACTTTGTCCTCTGGTTTGATTCACTGTTTGTTTAAAGAAAGTCCACCGGGTTAACTTTCTCAGTGCCTAAAACATGGCTATAATGCACTGATAAGCTGCTACATGTTTTGACAGCTTGTTTTTATAAGGCTGTCAAAAGGCAGTAGAATCAACTTGGGTTATTTTTCTAATATTTAAAGCTGCCTAAAAAGATATCACATTACCGTCGTTTAGCTCATACATGTTAAAGGAAATTCTGAGAAATTGTAGCAATGTTTACAGTTTAACCAAATTGAAAATTCATTTTTGTTTTTATTTTTTGTCTGGGAAGAATGACTAGATATTTTTGCACCTGACATTAAAGGTAGTAGTACCTAAGATTTCGCTATGATATCTGCACTGTGCCTTTAAGTAACTGCAGCTGCCACACCTCTGTCTCCAAGGAAACCCGAGGATGCAAACATTAGCGCCAGAGCTTAATCTGCCGTGATGTCAAGCAGAGCATGAGGCTTTTGTTTGATTTCCAGATGCTTTGCTTATCCAGTATTTTATTCCTGGCCACTTGTTGATATATACTGATAAGACCATATCACTGTTGAGATCTGTTAACCTGCTCCATTTTCTCTGTTTATTTCATATGGCGAATAACTAAATCGAGGGCTTGTCTTTTGTTGTGATAGAGAGAAACTGATGTTGCAACTATAAACAACTGCTAATGTTCGAGTGGGGAGCTGTCTCAGTGTGCGTTGGCTGCAAAGGAACAAGTCAAGGTTAATTCCACACTGAAAAATCGAAACGAGAAAACAACATTCTGGTTGTAGAGCCTTCTGCAGGTGTGGACAGATTGTTCAGCACACGCCAGTCAAAATGTTGTATTTCTAGTAACTTCTAATGTTTTAAAATTGGAAAAGAAATGTACACTAACCCTGGGAAAACAGCAGTGAGCTACATTTGGTTCGTGGCCACCATTTTCCTTGTATATATTCCCCAAAGCAAAGTGATTTTGGCAGTGGCAGTTTGGCAGTCTGGCCAATTTTCTCTAAAGAGTTGCCATCTCTGTTAATTAATATCTGTATATTATCTCCTGTGTATGTGCACCCTGAGCAAAATACATGTTATCAACCAAGACCATTGTCTCCTAGATCTCACTCTGGCTATGTGACCTAGTACTGGACTTTGTGGTTATTGTCAGTAGATGGATTTCCATCCATAGATGGAAAAAGAAAATTCTATATTTTATTGATTGGATACAGTAAGGGTAACAAAGTCAATTTTAAAAGGAAAGATTATGATTCATTCTCAGCCAGCAAGCAAAAAAAATATTAATACCCTCCTGCCTCATTATTGGGCTTCCATGAGAGAAATTCAGTTGTTGTTCGTTTTTATTGTCTTTTCACAGTTTTCCTTGAACAGTACTGCAGATTTGAAACTGGTTATCGCAGTCTCCCTTTCACTATTGTCTGTGTGGCTATGTGTCACATTTCATAGGGAAGTGGGTGACAGTATGGCAGGTTTCTCTGTTATTATTCAAATAGTCTCCTGGCAGTACAATCTGAGCTCTGTGTACACAGAAGATCTTTTTTTTATTTAAAGAAAAACATCAGACTGAGTGATCTACATTAAAATTTAATCAGATCCTGTCCTACATAGCCTCCATAAATTCACTCTTTTGTATTACTATCCTTTTTCTGAAACAAACAAGATATCTTAGCCCGATAATGTCTTTGGATATTTTTAACTGAAATATCTTTATACTGGTTATATACTGTGTATATCAGTTTACTTATTGGTACTGGAACCTACAGTGAGTAGAGGTTGAGAGTCAGAAACAGATTTTTCATCTCTTTCTGTGATCACTTCCTTGCTATCAATTCTGGTAAATAAATAACTTGTAAAAGCACAACATTTCACGTATCAGCAGTCAAGCAGTCCATTAATAAAACTAGTTCACAAACCACTACCCTCCTGTGTTTGGGAATATGGACAAGCATTGGGTAATGTTAAAACACAAAACTATTGTGTTTCTTTACGCCTAATTAAGCTGTCCTTGATATTCTTCTTGACAACAAAGCCAGAGCTCGATGTTTTTCAGGAAAACACCAGTTGCCGAGAATAGCTAAAATCTGAGAAGGCATCATTCACACACTATCAGCGTCTCACTTTACCTATGAGAGTTCTTTCAGTTCTTGCTGTGTATGGTGGATCCTGGATTAATGGCCTCTTGCTGCTGTATGTCTTGGTAAGTATCCAAGTGCCCAACTCTGACATTTCCCTTTTCATGACATGGACTTGTGTAAATATTCTTTCTATGTCTTTAATAGATCAGCTGCAGCTTGCCGTGTTTTGGTAGTAAAGTCATTCAATACCATTTTTATCAGCCCTAGTAGACCGTGTGAAGATTTAGTTTTACAACCACTGAAAGAATTTCACAGAACGGGAAAGTTTCTGATTTGAGAAAACAAAGAATTACCTGGGTTTGGCTCATCCATGGAGAAGGCTTTATTTTCCACGAACATGTTCTGGGAGCTCTGCTCTTTAAGGATGGTCTCGTAGCCCACGCCTCTGGTGGGGTAGAGGACATCTCCGTAGGCCTGCTCGGGCTCGTTGACGCTGATGAGGAGGCAGATTTCAGGGATCACGTACAGGAGGAGAAAGACCCAGGCGTTGGAGACCAAGGCAATGGCCAGAGTGGGATCATCCCACCTAGGACTACCTCTCTTTTCATTCCCATACACGTACATCACTATCCAGGCTACCCAGATGCCTACAGAGAGGGAGCTGGTCAAGATGATGAAGATGCCTTCCTTTCTACAGTGCTTGTGTTTTACTATCTGGGTGGGGAAGGCGGCTAAGAGAACAGCCAATATGAGAACCATCACATAGATCAAAGCCATCACAAAGTCCTGGTTGGCAATGTCACAGGGGTTTCCTGGGGAGCTTTTGTTGGGAGGGTAGCGGACGATGGTGATTATCAGCCACTCCGTGTTGATGATCACCTCCACCAGCCAGAGGGCCAGGGCGCCCAGGCAGAGTGCCCAGCCCCGGGGGCCCGAGTTCTTGCGCGCCAGCATGTTGAGATGGATGCAGTGCATAAACAGGCAGGAGAAGCAGCCGGCGAACAGCACTCCGAAAAGGAAGCGCCTGGAGGCGCAGGTGGAGAAGTCCCGGCCGACGATGAAGTCGAAGGTGAGGGAGAACAGGCCGGCAGTGCACACCAGGAGGCCGGCCTGCAGCCCCGCCGTGCGCTTCTTCTTTCCCTCGATGACGAAGGGCAGGCTGGCCAGCAGCACGATGAGCAGGATGAAGGAGCAAACCACGCCGGCCCCTGCAAACGCCTCCAGCACTATCCCCCAGACCGCTCCCAAGTCACACAGGTTGAAAAAGAGAGGGTCGAGCGACGAAGCGCAGCCATTGGGGGTGTTATTCCCTGCCCTGGCACCTGGAAGAGACAACAGAGAGACAGCAGAGGCCACCAGCAGCAGGGAGATCTTCATGACTGCCAGGTCCATGGTAGCAGATCTGCAATGACACCACGAGAGAGGCACCTATTAGAAAACACACCAGTCTCATTAAGCTAAAACATCAGACTAAAACTGAGAGGAAAGAAACTGAGGGCTAAGAACAGTCAAGTATTTTTTGGCCCAGTTTTTGAATCTCTGTTTCTCCGCACACGCCACACAGAAAGAGATGTGGTCAGCATGGAACAAAATCAAAAATTTGCGTTAATAAATGTTTGAAAATATTGGAATGCTTTAGTATCTGTCAATACATTTTATTTACTTTTCTTTACTTAGCAATTCATCAAACAGAAGGCCATCATTGAGCAACACTGGTGTAAACCGATAGGTGTCGGTGTGGTTGGACTTTCTCCAGTTCATTCCATAAATCACTGATAAGCTTTTTGACAAATATTGATTTTTGGAACGGGATTTTCATTTCTTGGTGACTGAGGTGCAGTGTTGATCCTGTTGGTATGGCAGGCAAGTATTGGAAACTATAATAATGAGGAGTGTGGAGTATGTGTAAGAGTTTCTGAGCATGTTTGGAGGGTAAGGAAAAGCAAAAACATAATTCAAAGGGTTATTATCAAACAGAAAAAAGGAGACCAAAGTGCTAACTTTATGCACTCTCAATTAATCCAGAACAATACCTGAGATCGGGACAGTAAAGTGTTCAGCTCCTTACTAAGAGGTACAAGCATGTAGTGAATAGTTAGTCCACACCATTTCTGGGGAAGGGGTACAGTTACATTAAAAAATAAACCATTGCAGTTGAAGGTTATTATAACTTACAATATGTTGTAGGAAAATAATTTTTAAAAGCCATCTCATAGTTATGCTGTAAACTAATACATTGTTTCTTAAAAGCAATTTCTTCCAACTTCTCATTTGACAAAACCAATCCCATTCACAAGTAACTTGTAATACATTACCTTTTAAATGCAGTTTTACCCAACACTGGCTTTAACTGGCTTAATTGCCATGCTTCTGGCTATAAATAACTCTTGGTTAATGCTATAAAGGAGCATGAAGGAATTTTCTGCTCAATTCTTATCTTGTGATATAATCCACTTGTATCTCCACTGTTTAATCCAAATGGGGAACAACCGTAAAAAACAAAGGGATAATTATTGTATCCCTTTTATTTTTGTTCGTCTGAAATCCCCATGCTTGTCTCTATTTTCATCTGTAATGTCATTGATAGGCAGAAATAGAGGCAATCACTCTTAAAAGTTTTCTTTTTAAGGATTTCAATGTTCCCAGTTAGAAAGAATCCCTTTTCTCAGACATGGAACTCATATACAGTGTTACAATGCAATATTTATTTACTCTTAAAGTTTTTTTTATGGTGCTCAGACTATGATCATCTTATTTTTCATAAATGTTTAAAGATCTCAAAATCAAACATTGGCACCAGCTTACACTGATGTAATTTTCAAGCACTGACTTCAAAAGTCAGCGATCAATCCATTCTCAGTTAAAGACAATTGTATTGCTCCTCGTCTTCCTTTAATAGCGTAACCGCTACAATTAAAATCAGATCTGTTCCAGGTAATTGACCTGTTCTGATCAGCCTTGCTGAGCTGTGAAGAACTCGTTTTAAACCATTGTCTTTTTTGTTCTGCCTACAGAGTCAGGTCACATTACACTGAGTACTGTATTTCCACGTTGCATAACTAAATCACTGAAACTGTGGGTGATGTGACAAAGCCTGTTTCCTGGTTTTGGGATTACGAGCTGGGCACTAGATCCACCCTGCAGTTGCTGTCCTTAGCTTTATCGTCAATGACAGAGGACTGCATCTGGACACCTGAACACACAGCTGGCCAAGCACTGGAAATGGCAGTATACAAGTTCCTTTCAGCTGGGAATTCAGTCTGTCCCAAGCCTAAAGGACAGTGAGTCCTTTGTGGCCTTAATAAACTTAATAATCTTGATTTATATTTAATCAGTCAAAGATAACTGAGTGCTCTTCTGTTAAATAGGCCTGCTATAAAGTCTCATAAAGTCTTCAATAGCAATCTTATGAAATTATGGAAGAAATTACAACTGAATCTTTTTGAAAAATGGACAAAAGTGAGAATCGGTATGCTCAAAAATAGTCATGAACTGAATTTCTAACAGTAACTTATGTCCTATAATGAAAAAATCTAAAGATTCTAAAGACTGCAATAATGTACTTAATTTTGTCAGTTCTTTATGTGATTCTTCAGACCTGATCACAAAGGGGACTCTTTATTGGTTAGATTCAAGTGAATCAAAAATTGAACAGGCACAAGCTCAGCAATATATTGTACACTTTAAGAATTAAACCCATAGAGATATTTAGGGAGCTGTTTTTTTTTCTCTTTTCCTTTTTCATCATTGCAATAAAACTGCATTTGATACAATTCAGTTTTTCTTAGACTCACCAATCCAGAGCTAGTGATGTTCACCAGCAGCTCAGAGAGGATTCTTTTCTAAATATTTATGCTTTTTACTTGATGAAAGCTTGTCTGGTGCATTCCACAACACTTACAGGAGCTCCAGAACATCCTTGTCTTAGACCTAACGGGAGATTTCACATCCTGTACATTATCTCCTGTGTGGTGGAGTATTCTTGAAGCACCTAATCAGTGATCATGCCAAATAAACAAGAATTGACTTTAAAAAAAATGTCTGCAGATTTGGATTGTCGGGGAACAATGTGGTTGTGAGGTCCTTTCTGTTGTAATTAGAATACTTTCAGGTTTATTGTGAATGTCCACATTGTGAAGTGTACATGTAATAGCACGGATTGCAAACCCTCTTTGTGAAAATACTTCATACTTAAGGATGAAATGATCTACCCGTTTTGGGACTGCCCTTTTTTTAAACTTTCGAGCAATCTGACTAAAACAGGAGCTCTTTTGCAGGACGGACAGATTTCTCCTCCTGTCGCTGAAAAGGTCTTGGCTGCAATTGCGGGTCACCTGATACATCGTCAAGGTCACCGAGCTCGGTAAATAAAACCTGCTTTTTAGAATGCTGAACCAAACACAAATAAAACTTTAACCAGCAGTACAGGACTGCGCTGAGCAGAACGTGCGGGTCTTTAAAACCGCAGAAAACCAAGGAAACCGGTTGGATTGCTTCATGACTCTGCTTGTACCAGAGAAGGCTCACTTCCAACTTTTTTAGACGTAAAAGCTTTAATTTCACAAATGTATAAAGGCCTCTTCTCCCAAGCCGTGATTGCATTGAATACAAAGGAGAATTTTTTTTTTACTTGTAATGTTCATTCGTATTAAATCTGGTTAACATGTTTGAAATGTGACACCACTGAATATTAAATACAAATCAACCGTACGATGGCAGATGGCAGGTGGAAGGTTACAGTAGAGTTAAACGGTTACACCGGTACGTATTTTTACACTAAATACCAGAACTACGACTACTCGTTTTTTATTGTAACCTATTTCGGCAAATTTAAATCGCCATCATCTTCCTTTCGTCTAATCTTTTTGTGCCAAAGGCGTGGCTAGAAATTCCAAGAGGCAGTAGAAACACCTGGACTGGTAAAACTGATTACCAATCTATCCTCCAAAATATAGAAAGGGCTTTTAGGATTTTATAGCTCTTTTAATGTCGGAAACATTATTATTATTATTATTATTATTATTATTATTATTATTATTATTATTATTATTATTATTATCAAGATAAAATATAATTATTTTAACATACTTTTTAGACTTTGTATAGCTGGTATAGTTTGTGTTGTAATATAAAAAGATGCCGAATGCAAACAGTTCAACTTTATAACAAAGGAGGAAAAATGTAACGAGTGCAAACGAGTAAACTGTAAAATAATCCTAATTAAGAGGACGTGAAACTATTATTATTATTATTATTATTATTATTATTATTATTATTATTATTATAAGTAATGGCAGAGAACTCCGATAACTATGGTCACCCAACTATGGTCAATTTTTGTTTACTATTGTAAAATTCTAAAACATTGAGACTCACTATTTAAAAAATAAACTTGTGTGCCCGGATTGTAGAGCGCACTGGACAGGTAACAGGTACAGTACTTACCTGGCGACTACCTGCGAAGAGTACCGATTTTGGTCAGTCCTACTCCGGTAGATGTTCTGGTGGACCCACGTCAGGCAGAGAGAATTCGGAACTTTGCTATGTGTGTTTTTTTCAGAAGCAGAAGCAAATAATAATAAAAAAAGATGTATTAAATGATGTGTTTACTTAAAATGTTTTATTAGACGTGTCTTTATTTAGGATTTTCGCCCAGGCTCCTGAAGTAGTTTTCTTTTGACTCAACACGGGGTCTTGTTGAAAAATTTCTGTCCTTTATTTCTGATCTCTTCTTCAAACATGATTTTAGTCCAGTGTGGTGCCAATGGGTTGTAACCCTGTTCGCTGTACATTCTGACTGCTCACTCCCGACTCCCTCCCTCTCGGCAAACGGTATACTCCCGCCTACAAGAGCCCCAACCCAGCCTATCCAGAGTTCACACCTGAACGTCAACGACTCTCTCCTCTTCGCCTGGACCTCTCGTCCCAGTACACATACATTTATTATGAACTACAAGACAACAAAAAGCCTACCCTGCAATAGATTAACTAACCCATAAAAGAAAAACGCACGTTGTAGTGAAATTGTTTATTATTTAACGACTTGCTTTTTTTGTAGTCTGACTGCTATTCGGTCCTTCAGTATAGTTTGAAGGTGTTATATAACGGTGGGAATGATTTTGGTAAGTGGCAGCACAAATGCTGCCCTTTTATTTTATTTTCTGAAATACGATATACTGTAAGGCGCTCAATTACACCAACTGGAAGATGGGATAGCTGTGATATGAATAATTTTACTTTATGAACCTTGTGGTACAGGTATCCTAAAACGCCACGGTTCGGCTTATGCGTGGGAAATGTGAATATGAGAACGCACCGACTACAGGCTCCAAACTGACACTAGGCGAGGTCTGAATTGAGAGTCTTAGCTCACTGCGCAGTCATGTCTGTTAGCTGGCACGTCCTCTTAGACCTTGAACAAGAGGCATTTAACGTCATTCCACAGGGGTCATTCCACATCCTAGCGCTGACATTCCTGGGGGCGGTGTGGACGCAACTAAAGACCCGACCCTTAACACGGCACTGACCGTTTTCACCAAGTCTTCAGCCTGCAGACCAAAAAGGTTGATTTTGTCATAAGGATTCGCATCCCATCGTACAGTAGCTTTAGGCTTGTCATGTATACAGTACGTTCGGTTTGATGTATGGAAAGTGACACTAAAGGTTAAATATGCATCGTATCAGTGCTCGCAAAACGGTCATCACGGTGTCGACATTGTTTTATATTTATAGCGTTTGAGCGTTGTGCATTTCAGTGAGTGTAATTGCACTATAGTTGTGCATTGGTCTGCTCCAAGCCAGCACATAAATCTTAGTGTTTTCGCTGTCACGAAAATCGGAGGAGTGAAGAGGTAAAAATAATATAGATATAGCAGCTTCTGTCAATTTTATTCCCTTTAAACGTAAACTAATGCTATTTTGACAACAGGTCTTTGATGTTGCACTTTAGTCAATTGTGTGGTTTGCACTTTCGTGTATTTCTGGATCCCAAATAGATTTTGAAAGGCAGTAAACACATTTTTGCATGTATCGTGTTTCTGGAGGTGTAGGTACCAGTAAATTTGGTCTTTATCTCCATCTTGTGGTGCAGGCTGGTACATGGTTAATGTCACTATATTTGAATTTTGCCCAAGCACTACCAGGTGGGAAAATTACCATGAATCTCAGCCTAAACCAAGTTACTATGCCTTTCCCCCTATATTCTAGCAGAATATTAAGATCTCTAATCCAGTCCTTATAGTCTTATATGCTTTCACCAATATCTCTAACATAACTCTATAGCCTTTGAAAAGCAAACTAGTTCTCACAACAAAAAAATATAGGAATAAATTCTTACATTGATATAGAGTTTTCATCCAGTAGGATCATGTATAGGAGGGGACCCACTTCTCCCAGCAGTAGGGTGCAGTTCCTACCTGAGTGACACACAACATCCATTCCTTACCAGCAGCCATTGCAGTGAAACATTTCAAGGGCTGTGAAATATTATCTGTGAAATTTTGTTTTATCATTTAAATTAAAGAAGAGCTTTAAGAAAGACCAGATTGCACAAACCCAGAGTTTGATTCAGCCAGGATGTTTACCCAGTGGGTAAACCGAACATAACACTCCTGTTCGGTAGCCTGGTTCTGTAGACATCTTTAATGTCCAGGTAGTCTGCTCTGAAGAATGGCACATCCTACAGCAGGGTGTCCCTGGACACCATACTGAGGCTTGAAAAAGAGAGTGGAAACTGAAGGATACTGTGTCGACTTTATTAAATTAGACTTGTTGTAATCAGATACTTGACCAAGCCTGAATTTAGCCTTAGTTTCATTTCAGTCCTGAAGGTTGCGACCCGTTCTGTTATAAAGTTCCCATAATTTGCTGATACGTCAGGAAAGAAGTAAATCTTAAGAAGTGAAACAAAATCTTAATGCAGTATATTAAGTGATGGGCAGCATTGCTCTGTACATCTTTATTCTAAAACGTTCTGTTAAGGCTGCATTACAGTAGACTGTCATTAATCACTTTATATTGTTTGACAGTTTGTATTAATGTCTGGAATTTAGGAAAGTCATAATGTAGTTAACAAGGTATAACTACTGTACCTTGTCCACATTGCCAGACACTCATCCTTCAAGCCAAGTGGTTTAATGCCAGATACATCAGAAAAAGCTTGATCTTTATCTTGTGATTTGTCTGTAACTATTGAGACAGTTTTCTTAAAGGAAACTTGGTTTACAGGTTTTACCCCCATGCGTTTTTATTGTGATCTTTATGATTCCTCTCTTCCTGAGTTTGAGATGTTTTGGATTTTATTTTTTAGAAAGAGCTGGGCCTTCAAGGCACAGACCTGCTTTTAATAAACCTGTGCTATTTGTGTGACATTTCAAGTTTTAATCCATGGTGATCCTTAGTGTCTCTTAAGGGAACTACAGAACACAGAAGTATATCTCACAGAGCCGTATTAACAGAATACGTAACTCATTCTGTTTTGTTGCCCATTACCCTGAAACTCTGTAAAGGTCCTGGGTTCTGTTGGCTCATGTGTTCGCAGACCTCCTTTGTTTAGTTTTCATCATGAACACAATATGAAAGATCCACTTTTCTTTGCATCAGTAAAAAAATAAATGAAAGAATGAATATTAGCGACTTTTAACATTTTTGGTGCCTCTAACAAAATAAATACAAAAAAAGCTTAGATGTTGTTTGAAGGCCTTCATTGAAACTAGAGTGCAATAAAGGCAAGGGTTTGAGAACGTTAAAACATTTGCAAAAACAATTGCAGAAGACTAGTCGAGACATTACACCTTGCTGTTCACTGTAGTCCCACACATTAGCCAAATTTACCTCTTTATGAAGTCCCCAGAGAGTCAATTGTAATCTGATGTTCAAACTGTACCCCCTTACTGCAGTTATTAAATCTGTCTGGCTGCTGGCAGTGTTGACATCAATAAACACACACTATATTTAAGTGCAAATGAGAAGCCAGACACACATTTCAAATTGCTTCACTGTCTCTGTGGCTGAAGACAGCAAAGCAGATTCACAAAACATTTAGGCTGTATTATGTATTATCCATACGGTATGCAGTGTGAATGTTCAGCACTGTAACTCATTTTATTTAAAATGATAGGTGAGAACCCTAGTAGGCTAACACTGGTCATTGAAAACAATTTGACATTTCCAAATAGAAATTTCCTCTGTTTCTCAGAAATGCAGTGAAATTAGCAGACAATAGTCTAACTAACACAAACGTTGGACTCCCCCTTGTTGCCTGTTTATGTAATTTTATTTATTAATATAATTTTGGAAAAACTAAACTTTAAATGGTCAAACTTTAAACAACAAATGTATTTCTAACCATGTATTTAATGAATGTGTACTATGTGGTTATTATTGTGTAATTAACTGCATGTCATTGCATGTCATGCATGTCTACAAGACTGCATGTCTGTGTAATTGTATGAAAGTGATTTACGAGACAGCCTTTGTTACATAATGTAATTACATTGTAAACATAGTGAATAATAAAATATCCATGCAATATCCTTAATTTTTGACAATCACATATATTAGAAGAAATAAACTATGTTGTGCTTTTTAACATTACATCGGGCATATTTTTATTATTTATGATACATCAGAGAAGAAGAAATTCACCAAATGGAGCTTTCTGAGGGGGATTTTATCAAATTATAATGCAAAATTTACCGCATTAATAATCTCTTTTCTAGGCCACAACACATTGTTTTTGACATTTCCAGTTGAAGAAATCTTGAGCTTTTTACAAATCCTTAATCCTGAGTGGGAATCATTGTTGTATCAGCAGGGAAATGTGTTAAACATCCAACATGACTGCAAATTAAATATCACTTCCCCAGAAAGCCAGTTTACAATGATATAATAACATGCAAGTGACACTTGAAAAATGTTATACATTAAAACACAGAGAATGAATAAATCAGATGTTTTTTCTAGGTGGTATCCTTATCAGAAGATTCTTTTAAAGTGCCAAAGCAAGCTAGCATCCTAATAAAAACACTACATACTAAAGTGTCTAGTCTGTAGTTGACATTGGTGTGTCTCACAGTTGCTTTAGTATTGTGCATTCATCTGGATACAAAGCCATACCCATAGAAATGGCTGTACAGAAAAGCCCGCAGGGACTAATTGAAATGTCTTTCATCTGTACTCTTCCCTGATTTGTGATTTTAATCACAGTCCTTCCATCATCCAACTGCACCCCGGTTTAGATTTAAGCAGCACTAGCTTTAAATTCAGATAATGCAACACATGTTAAATAATTTGCTATTTGATCAGTATTGCCTACATTAGCACTGTTTTTTTAAATGGAGAATTATTATGCAAGGTACTGTCAAGACAGTTCGGATGGATAACATTTACCATTGGAGTGGAAACCTGCTTTTTCTGTCCCAGACAGGAATGGAGGGTACAAAGCTCAGGGTGGGAAAAGGGAAGGATATTTTCTCTAGCCCAGTAATCGTCAGCC